GTCAGGTCAGAAAGCAGAACAGGGTCTGCACAGCCCCTCAGGGTTCCTGTTTTTCTTGAAGTTACAAGGCAAGAGTCACTGCAAATATGGCCCATAAGTCTAAACACACGTGCTGGTAGAAATGCCATGGCTGAATTCACAGCTTCAGCAAGAGCCTTACATGGGATTGTTTGGGAAGGAATCTGGTCCTCAAACTTAAAATGGGAATATGTGGGTGGATGTGGATGGAGCTGAAGAATTTAACCCCAAATGTCCCTGTACCTCCACAACAGCAGAAGATAGCTCCCCAGGCTCTGCTTGCAGAAGGGTTTGGAGGCACCACACCTGAGATCATGACAGAGGGGGCTGACTGCTGTCCTCTGGGTCCAAAGTTATAGTCAGTGTCCTCGAGGTACAAGTTCAACACCTTACCTAGGAAGAGAGGTGACCCAGACTCCACCATGTTGTTACCCAGAGCTGGGGATGTGCATGGGAACTTAGAAGCAGGCCATGGAGGACAGGTTGGACATTGGGTGGGGTGATGGAGAGCTGCCCCAAGATGCTGCAGTGAGTGTGTCCACTCCGTGAGTTGGGGAGCCCCGATGGGGTGAGTTGTTGGTTAGCGGAGTCCAGTAATAACTGTGTCCCACATTTCATGAGACCAAAATGCAGGATCTGCCTGAGAGCAAGGAAGTAGGAATCCACAGACTTGGAAAGTTACGTGATGGGGTGGGCCTATCCCAGGCTTCACGCATGAGTTCAGAGGTATTAAACAGCAAACCAAGAAGAAACTCATTCTGCATTTCTGACTATACTTATATTCAGAATGAATGTAGCAATTAATACCAGAAATTATAAATTGTTGCCAAGAAGAGCAAAATCCAGCCATGTGTTATATATGAGAGATATTCTTAAACTGTTAAGCCATGGAAGGTTGAAAGAAATAGAAGAATGCATTTCAGGCAATCAGCAACCAGAGAGTCTGGCAAACGGTATATATTTTGGGAGAAAATCTACACTTTAAGACAAAACACCTTAGTGTAGACAAAGATGGCTTCTACATGGTGCTAAAAGATTCATTTCATAGGGTTGGGGACATTGCTCAGTGTTGCCACACCTGCCTTGCAAGTGTAAGGTCCCCAGATAAACAAAGATTCAATTTACAATAAGATAAAACAGTTTTAAACATGCAAGAATGTAGAAGAAATAGCTTCAAAGCAGACATAAGTAGGGAGATTCTTGTAAATTCACCATCTAACAATGGATTTAAACAATAACCGATGGGTTAAGCAATTAAAGACAATCCCTTTAAAACACAGAAAAATGAACAAGAGTCTGATTTCCACACACAGATGTCTGCATTAAACTCACAGGATGTTTTCCTTAACTTCTCAGGTACTTTGCAGATGCATGGTCCTGGGTCCCCTCTACTCCCACACATCAGTGTCAGCTTCCTGCTCCCTGAAGAAGACTTCAGTGTCTCCTCTAGTGGATGCCCACTGGCCACACATTCTCACTGTTTCAGGTTTTTGTTTTGTTTTTTTGGTAAAGATTTTTATTTTACCCTCATTCCTTTTTAAAGTTTTAAAATTGAGAAACCATTCCTACATGGTTAAAATTCCCAGTTTCTGTTATTTTAAAGAGCGCGCTGCTCTGTGGGCTCTGGTGGCTTTCCTGTGACTTTTGGCTTGCCTGCTACTGGCTCGTCTGTCCTCTGGCTCTCTGAGGACACTCAGCCAGTGCCATCTGTGAGGAACCGACCCTCGGGAGACCCCGATCATTGACTGTGAACCTCCAGCCTCTGTGAGAAATCAGTTACCACTGTTTATGAATGACCCAGTGTCAGGTGTTTTGTGATGGCAGTGTGACAGGCTAGGATGATATGATGGTCATTACCTAACCAAACTCAAAATTTTAACATGCAAATCAAAATAATAATGTAACTTCTCACCCATCAGATTGAAAGATTTTAAGTTTTCCAGCATTTCTTGGAGGAGAAAAGCAGTAGTTTAGGACAAAGTGGCAACTGGTGGATAAAGCCCTGTCAGGGGCACTTTAGTGCTGTTTGCCAAAATGTCAAATTTCTTACAATTCTAACAGACCCAGTGTTAAGCGCTTGCCCTGCAGGTTTACTCATAAAGCTACATCAAGAGCATAGGCCGAGAGTTTTCACCAAAGTGCTGTCTGTGACAATAATGATAAAAACGGAAGTGATCTGCCTGGCCTTTGGGAGGTCTCCAGGGGGCATGGCGGTGTGTGACTCAAGGGCAGGCTTTAGTCCAGGCCCACGGAGTGGCCACACCCAGAGTGACCTCACCGGGGTGAGGGGTGTGATGTGTTGAATCCTCGGCGTGTGCCACCCTCTTGGCTGATGACAGCAGTGGCCTTGCAGAGCCAGCCGGTGGCAGGTGCATGAGCAGGGACCGCGCCCCACAGGACGGTGCCAGGGAGGCAGGGAACGAAGCGCAGCCGGCAGAGGAGGGAGAGGCGCGCTGCGGGAAGGACACGGCCCACTGCTGACCCTGGAGACGGTGCTGGCCCAGCTCGCTGGCCTGCCCCGCCCCCCAGACCCACAGGAGAGGCTCTGTGGGCTGCTCTGTGACGTGAAAGCAGGTGGGCCCAGAGGACCAAGAGTGAAGAGCCCCAGGAGGAGCAGTGCCCTCGGGGCTGACGTGAGCCAGGCGGGGTGTGTGACCCGCACACTATCCCACAGCAAGTTTGGGCTTGAGATGAAACTTGGAGGACCTTTCCTTCTCAGTTTGAATTTTTAGTGCTGTTAAAATTGGCTGCTTTGTCCATTTCTTATTTTATGATTTGAAAGTCAGTGCAAGGAATTGTGAATCATGACTTTATTATCCTTATGATTTTTCTGCATTAAGATGCTATGATTAAAAGTGAAAGTGATTATAGGCAGTCCCAGTACTCAGTGTTGATTTTCTGTCAGGGAAACACTGACACCAGCATCCTTGGAGCACCCACAAATGTAAGTTCTGGGTAATTAACACCCTGTGGAGAAGAGTAACACTTCCAAGGTCTGAGAAAAGTGGCCTCCTGTTTCCCTTCCCGGACCCAGGGGACTTTCCGGCTTTGCCCCAGTGGCGCAGGAGAGAGGGAATCAGACAAGGTGGTGGTGGGGACACAGGAGAACCTGGAGTCCCAGGGCGGTGTGGAGGTCCAGAGCCTCCCTAATTGGCCACTGGAGGCCCAAGTCCCCACGCTGTCAGGTGCAGAGAACCCAGCCCAGCAGTGACCCAGAGGGCAGGAACCTCCGCACCCAACCTGGCTGATGGGGACAGGAGCTGAGCAAGGTGAGGGAGCCCAGCCCGTCCTCCTCCCCAAGGACCCTAGTGTGGACCTTGGCTGCTGCCCGCCCCACTGTGCTGCTTGGGACCCAGCACTGACCTGTGGTGGAGCTGGAGGCCTTCTGTCCCCCTCCCACTTTCAGCACAGATCAGGATTGGAAGCACACAGGCCTCAGTGGTCCAGCCCCGCAACAGGACGTTCTTCGGGGGTGCACCTGGCAGCGCCCAGCTGCTGCTTTCATGGCTCAGTGCAGGAGGAAGAGATCTGGGTGCAGGGGAGTGTGGGCTGCTGCAGTCAGCTCCAGGGGTGGCCATGCTATACCAGTGTAAGAGTTTACAGTGCTGGTAGGTAGGATGGAGCCATTGCAGGCAAGGAGACTGCAGCTCCTCCTACACTGCCTGGCATGATGCTCATCAGCCCAGGAGTGGACCAGTTTACTGAAGGCCCTGCTTCAGCCCCTGTCACCTGAGCACCAGCAGGTGCTGTGTGTGCTTCTCGTTCCAAAACAAACGGTGAACTTGTTATGCAGGCCAAAGTGTCAGGTGCCCCTGGGGCACTGGCACAAGCTTCCTTGGTGGTCACAGTGGGTGACTTGAGACCCTGACAAGGCACTGTCCTGGAAAATAGGCAGAGTCATGAAGCTGAGACACTTTTGGGACTTGCAGATGGGTAGTGGGAAGATGGGCCACCCTGGTGACAGGGGTCCCTCCTGTGTGGTACAATGGGGCAGTGGCCAAGACCTGAGGACAGCTGGGGAGCCACCCGACTGCTGTCTAAGATGTGCAGAGCAGCCCCTGTCCTGTGCCCACTCCACACCCTGGGCAAACTGCACCCAGGTGTTAGACCTGGGACCCAGGGGACCCTGCCAGTGCAGCTCGGCTCCAGCCATGTCCCTCTGCTTCCACCCCAGGTGTCAGCCTGCCTACGGTCTGTGCTGTCCTTTGTCTCACCTTGTGTCTGAAAATCGGGACTGTCATGGACCTCCATCTGCAAGACAAGGGTTGAGGGCGCAGGACACTACCTTCTCCACATCCTCACACCACTTGTTACCGAGCCAGGTCAGTACTCGCTGATCACAGCAGCGCATGCTTCAAGGGCAAGTTGTTGGAGCCAGGAAAGATTCTTCTCTGGACAGGACGATGGGATGCTGTCACCAGCAGAGACTTCTTGGGGATTCGGGGATGGTAAAAGGCTTTCTGGGCAGGAAGTAGGGGTGGCGTGCAGCAGAGTTGGGCGGCAGCACCACACCCGAGAGGACAGGAGGTCCTCATGGCCACTTCCTGACTGAGGACAGAAGGGCTGAGGCCTGGCAGTGTGGGATGGGACCATACACACTGCTACTGTTGAGGGCCCTCCCCCAGGGAGCGGGGCAGCTCTCAGAGGCGGGTGTGGTGCAGAGATGGTGTCAGCCCCAAACACTGTCCTGGTGCTGGGAGACACTCAGCTCTGGCCACGTGTTTGCATTCCACAAAGCAAAGTTCCCTACACAGGGAAGGCTCAGCTCCGACTCCCAAATTAGGTAAATCAGAGCACATTCCCCTTTTCAGGGCACAGCGAGCTCATCTGGAAGGGGACTCAGGGAGCAGCAGCTCCAGGTGATGCACAACATGGCCCTGATGGGTTCCTGTGCTCCATGGGATGCATGAGCGTGGGACTGTGATCAGCTCCCTCTCACTGCCTCCACCATCCTCTCTGCACAGCTGTCCTGGCTCAGGGCCATGATGACCCACAGACATGGGAACCTCTCAGCTGAACCCTTGCAGGAGTTTGTGCTGGAGGGATTCAGGGGAGGCGTGGAGACACAGGCCCCGCTCTTTGCCATCTTCCTGGCCCTGTACATAGTGACCATCATGGGCAACCTCACTATGATCATAGTCATCACCCTGGATGCCCGCCTGCACTTTGCCATGTACTTCTTCCTCAAGAACCTGTCCTTCCCGGACCTCTGTTACTCCTCTGTCATTGCCCCAGTGCCCTGGCCAACTTCTTCTCCTCCATCAAAGTCGTCAGCTTCAGGGGCTGTGCCACCCAGTTCTTCTTTTTATCTTTCCTTGTCACCACTGAGGGCTTGCTCCTGGGAGTAATGACCTATGACCGCTTTGTGCCCATCTGCAGCCCCCTGAGCTATGCTATGGCCATGTGCCCCACAAGATGCTCTCATCTGGTGCTGGGCTCCTACTGTGGAGGCTGCCTCAACTCCATGGTGCAGACCAGCCTCACCTTCCAGCTCCCCTTCTGCAGCTCCAGTCACATCAACCACTTCTTCTGTGATGTGCCACCCCTGCTACAGATAGTCTGTGCTGACACAGCTCTCAATGAGCTGGTCATGTTTGGCATCTGTGGCTTCATCATTGTGGGCACCACTCTTGTGGTCCTCATCTCTTATGGCTACATCACAGTGACTATCCTCAAGATGCGTTCAGGAGCAGGGAGACAAAAGGTCTTCTCCACCTGTGGCTCCCACATGACAGCCATGTCCTTGTTCATTGGGACAGTGTTTGTTATGTATGCACAGCCAGGAGCAGTGGATTCCATGGAGCAGGGCAAGGTGGTCTCCATCTTCTACACCCTGGTCATCCTGATGCTCAACCCCCTCATCTACAGTCTGTGTAACAAGGACATGAAGGATGCCCTGCAGAGGCTGGGACAGAGACGGGCAGCCCTGTGAAGGAGTGGTCAGTGAGAGACAATGTCCTGGGGTAGGAACATGGCTCTAATGAACCTCTGTGTGGGTTGAGGACATTGATTTCCTCCTTCCTTTCCTGAGCTCCCTCCCTCCCTCTTTTTAAAAATCACTTTTTAGCTTTCTTTCATCCATCCATTTATGCAGCACCTCTTGAGAGCATATCATGGAACAGATATTTACTGAAAGGAATCCGTCTTGTGTTTTCCTTCCAGAAAATAAATGGTGCAGGGACAGAGCAAGTCACTTTCCGCTGGGGTACAGGGCAGAAGTACTGATCTTTGTTGGCATTTAAGGGTATTTCTCTACGAAAGGGAGTCAACATTTTGGATTCATGTATCTCATTTTGAAAAAGAAAATGGAAATCTCTAATTACATCCACATGCCAGCCCCCCTCCAGACCTCACCCTCTGCAAGACCAGCTCTGTTCTCATGGCCTCCTGTGAATGCCAACCGGAAGCCCTCCTGCTTCCCCGCTTCTCTCTTTCAGCTCATACTCCACATCACTATCAAAGAGACACATTTAAAACAACAATTGAGCTATATGGCCACACGTTACCTTTAAGGAGTTGCAGGTCAGCGGCTGGATCTGACAGACTGTGCCTCTCTCGGGAAGGAGTGAGTCTGGGGTGAATGTGGCAGCAACTACACAAGTAAGGTCAGTCACGAAGTCTTGACTGCACGATCTGGGGAGACCAGCCCCACTCAAGCTGAGAAAAAGGGACCCAGTCCCAATTACTCCCATGCACTCTTTGTCCTCTTCCCTCCCACCCAGCCCCTGACCAGACCCTGACCACAGTTGCCCCCGCCAGTGGGGCAGCATCATCTTCGTGAGACAAGTCCATGTGTTGTCTTAATATTTCCTTGATCTTTCTCGCCGCACAGGAAGATGCCATCTGTCCCCCTCCTGAGGGTGTGTGCACTGTTTCCAGTTAGCATCTTCAAAAGAAGGCTGCTGTTACATCCTTCACAGGCCTCTCAGTGTACACAGAGTGGAATTCTGATGGAAATTTCTAGGACTGTAACTGACTGGTAATGGGGTAGACTTAAGCGAGTATTTTGTATAGCTGCCAAAATTTAATTTCAGTCACTTCTGCTGACACTTTCCTAAGTTCAATTTGTACTTCCCTACTGGCTAGTGAGTGCTCACCTCTTTTCATACATTTAGAGGCCATTCAGATGTCCTGTTTGGGGAAGTTTTATGGTCTACATTTTTGGGGCCATTCTCTGTCCTTTCCTCATGATAGTCGTTCACATATCCTGGACATGAACACTTTGCTGATTAGCTGATTTTTCAAATATTTCTTTCCACTTGTAGCCCTTTTCCCACATGTCTAATGTTCTCTACTGTCACCTTTACAGTAGAAGTTCTTACATTTAATGTTTCAAGTCCAGTTTGTCTTTCTATGGTTTGTAAATTTTGTCTTATGATAAGAAATATCTTTGCCTACTCCAGTCACGAATCTACCTCTCTCTTTGAGAAGTTAGATTGCTTATTGTTTCCTGTAATCAACCACAGTTCATTTGAAATAAATTTTCATGATTGACTTGAAGTAATGTCAAGTTCCATTTTTCTTTGGTTTTGTCTTTGGCCACCTATCTGCCTAGTGATCATTTGCCAAGGAAACTATGCTTTCCACTATGTAAGAGCCACAGGAAGCCGTCTCATGAGCCATGTCCACGTGGGCATGTTTCTGGACTCCATTTTCCCCACTAGACTATTGGGTATCCTGACACTGTGTCATGATATGTTCTTACATTTAATAATTAAAATATAGTACATAAAAAGAACATCTAGAAAAACCCAGGAAGTGTCTCTGTGAAAAAATATAAAATAATCACGAGTATAAAACAGTTTAGAGTAAATACAAAAAAAAGTATGTGCAGTTTCCTAAACTATAGAGGAAAAATATAATTTTTTGATGGACATCAAAGGAGTCAACACCAAAAATATTTTTATTCTGAAGCTTAATTTGTAAACTCAATGTTTTCCTACATGACCAGATTTTTCTAATACTAAAGAAACTGACTTACAACTGTATGGACCATGATAAAAAATATTCAAAGAACTTCTGAAAAGTGAGAGCAAGAAGAAGGAACTTGTCCTGCAACAATTCAGACTCTTTTCAAAGCTATAATAATTCAAAGTATTGGTATATGTCTATGGGAAATATATCAGGGGTCTCAAGTGGTGAAAAAAAACCTGAAAAGTCACTAGAAGTCCGCAGCAATGAGGGTTTGAACTTTTAATGGTACAGATTTAACACACTCCCAAAATGAGGATGGATAGAGAAAACAGGGACCCATAGGGTGCTGCTGTTTCCCTGGTTCAGTTATTTTGAGAAGTTTCTCAGCAGGAACAGTCAAACCCACAATTTATAACAAAAAGAGCCCAGTGCTCTCTTTTTATGGAGCATGTGGATGTAGACAGGCAAAACACACAAAGATCTGATGAAGAAAGTAGAGCAGAAAAACCAAGGGTCAGGACAGAATATCCTGTGTTCCTGGAGTTTGTCCTCATGATGGTCACCTAAGCAGATTACAGACTGCTCCCAGGTTTGGCATTTTGCTGTGCAGTACATGTCCAAATGTAGACCTTACCGGGAAAAAATCATGCTATTTTAGGAAATACTAGGGGAAAAAAAGAGAAATTAACCTTATCGTTCTTCAGCAGAAGTGCAGGAGACCAGCTTGAAACCACTCTGAGCAGATGTTTAATATTATTGCGTTGGCTATTGATTAAGTTGTGAGTCTGTCCTAGGCCTATGTGACTTGCTAGGTGAGCATTTGGCTGGCCAACGGCCACAGTTGAGGGCTCAAAGGTGACATTCTGGCGCCCCGATAGAAATAAAACACTGCAGCTGAGGACTTTGTGATTATTGTGGAGCCATTCTCCCAGAACAAATGTTAGCTAAAGAAAATCAACAGTTCACTAGTCAATTGCAACCTGTCTTTCACAGGAATGCACCTGTACTCTTCAGCACCTCAGGCCCCAGTGTTCCCTGCATCTGCCTTTACACCCCCTGCAACGTTGTGTGATCAGTAAATAGTGGTGAGCCCAGAGCTCAGGGTCTTGGCCCAAAGAGCTCTCATAGTCCTGGACACCCATTTACGCAAACTTTTGTCTCCTGTGTTCTTCTTTGTCCTTGCCATACCCTCAGTCAGGTGGTCAGAGGGTTGTGCAGTCCCCAGTACAGAAGAGTCCACAAATAAATGGGAGTTGTATCTATACGATGTTTAAAATAATAGAAATTAATGAACTAGAATATGGAAGGATCCTGAGAGGTGATCAAGATCCCCATACACTCAATTTTGACTCAGAGCTAAAGAACTGAAATGCCTGTAATGTGGCACAGTGAGGGTTTGCTGCTGACCTTCCTGGCTGAAAGCAAATTGCTTCCCTGTCATATTGTATTCATTACCTAAAGAAACGGTCACAGAAGGATAGAGATACATTCACTGACAGATCTGGGAGACAGACATCCAAATCCAGTTTGTTGGCAGGATGATGCTACACCTGAAACCTCTAGGACAAACTCCTTCCTTGTCTGTCCATAGCTTCTAGTGCCTTCTAGTGCTTCTCAGCTTGGAGCTGCATCAGACTGCTGCCTCATCTCTAACTGCCCTTCCTCCTTCTGTGCGTTGTGTCCTTTCCTCAATGACAAGAACAACGGTCACTAGGGCCAGAGTCCAGTGAGTCAAGCATGACCTCAGGTTAAGTCATTTGGCCACACAATCCTATTTTGCAAATAAGGTCACATTTTGAGTTTATATATAGACATGATTGGTGGTGTAGGGTGTGGTGGTGGTGGCTCATGATTCAGCTGATTCCACCATGTTTCATCACTTCAAGGGAATTATATTCAGTAGTTGTAAATGCAAAGTTCTATACATATCAATTCACTTCCATGGCCATTGTGTTCTATTCAGTTCTAAAATGTGAGTGTTAATTGTCAGTTACTAAGAGAGTGGTGGTAAAATTGCAGCTCTCTAGGCCAGGGATTTAGCTCAGTAGTTCTACCACCTGCCTCATAAGCACAAGGGTCCGAGTTCGATCCATGGTACAAAAAAAAAAAATCAGCTCTCTTGCATTTAATTTATATCGCGCAGTGATTTGGATGTGTACATTTTATTTTTAAAATTTGTTTTCTATGTTGTAAAACTTTACTACTTAAAAATTTTAAAATTTCATATCATCTGCTTGGATTTAATATATTTATATTAAAATGTCCCTTTATAAATAAGCTTTTAATTGAATATTTTATTTGTTGATATTGATAGTCATACCACCTTTCTTCTTCATAAGCATCCATGTTATAAATTACTTTTGTCACTTATTTTAATATTTTCTATGTTTTTAGATCAAAAGTAATCTCATATTTTGATCTTGGGTTTACATACATGTTTACAATATTTTGTTAGAATAAACATATTTAACTGAGTACAGTACCAACTTTAGGATTTCAATGATTACAGAAAGGATGTTTTAGCATCAGAAGGCATCATAACTATGACAGATTGACATATACAATGATGTTTGAATGTAATGGACTTACACTAATATAAAAATATTTATCACAGGAAGCTGCTCAATGTTTTGAAATGGTTTATAAAAAGAAGAAACAAGCATTTATCTTGCCTTTCTTGTGTGAGTGTACCGCTGAGTACAAAGATTGTAGATAAATGTTCCTTCTGTACCAAGTCAGAGTAGTGAGCAAAACCTGTTTCTCAAAACCAGAGTCGCAGCTATCTGCCAAGTAAGGTCTGTCTTCAGAAAAATCCTGCAGCTAAGAAGGAATGGTGGGATTAGATTGTCAGCATTTTGCCGAAACCAGTGAATGAAAATAGGCAAAGCTCATCAATGATATGATCATCACATTTGTCTTGGGAGAAGAGTACAATGCCTCCCATGATATATAGTCTGGTCGATAATGATAATGATGTCACCATCATCAGAACTGAATTCTAAACAGGGCACTAGATCC